CACACACACTCTCACACACACTCTCACACACACACACACACACACACACACACACACTCTCACACCCCCACACACACACACACTCACACACACACACTCACACACACACACACACTCACACTCACACACACACACGTCATAACGTGACAAACTCGTGACCAGAAGCTCAGGAAGTGTGAAGGGTCAGGTGTAAACTGTAAAGATCTGCACTGAGGCTTATGAAGGATATTTCTTCACATTCACTGCTAAGCGAGACGCTACAGACGAAACATTGTGTTTTCATGCACTGCCCAGATATTGCTGAAGAAAACATGCAAAGCACACATTTAAGTGTTTATTGTATTGCACGTTATCTATTTGCATCTGTCGATTTCAACCTTTAAAGACTTTATTCTCTTACAAACAGTTTTATTCCTCTCTATATTCTGAAGGTTTGTTCATATTTCATTCACACTGATTTATACAACATTTTACTCCTAAAAACATGGTGAAAATGTGTTTTGTGTTCTGTCTGTTGACAGTATTTTCTGATTTATGGAGCGATAAAAAGAGAAACCCAAAATCCTTTAACTCTAATATGAACCTGCATTCATCTAATGTTCAGATTTATGCTGGAAATGTATGCAAATTTAATTAGATAATGCCTCATTTGCATATTTAAATATTTCAGATTAATTATCTGGGGAGGTGTGCTGATATCTGTGTGATATTGCGTGGTTAGCACACTGCTGGTCAGTGGTGTTTATGCAGCAGTTCACAGAATATCACAGTTTTTAAAATAACACGTGACATACTTGGACAAATGTCAAAATAACACCAATAGTATTTGTTGGTGAGAAACTATGTTAGATTTATAGCCATTTGCATTAGTTTAACTCTTACTCTGGCTTCCTCGCGTTATTATTTTAGCTTGCAATTCCAGAAAATGAGTCTATATTAATAATAATAATAATAATAATAATATTAATCGCACGGAGTTTCTGCGCAGACGCAGACGCAGCGTTGATGTGCGCAAGGAACCCGTGCTGCGCATGCGCGCTCGGCATCTCTACTCGCTCGTGAAATTCAATGAAATCTGTCCGAATCAGATGGAAATACGCCGCTGATTATGAATACTGATTTGTGATTAGAGTCTGCGAGCAGAAGGGCGTGTCGATCTGTGAACGCGATGCTCGCGCGCGGCTTTAATCTCACCTCCATCGCGCTGACGAACAGATCCTCCGCGTCCTGCGGCTCCGGGACACCGGGCAGCGGTGGAGGCTCCCTGTCCTCCGCCATCTTCAACAATAACAGCCGAATAAAGTCTCAGTCAGAGAACGAGTGTGTGATGAAGCCAGTCATGTGACTCAGTCGCATGACAGAAGCGCTTCATGCAGCTCATGCTCCGCCCTCACAGCGCAGAACGCCCACAAAAACAACACACTCTCACACACACAAACTCACATACACACTCACGCACACAAACACACTCACACGCACTCATGCACACTCACGCATACACACACTCACATGCACACTCACACAAACTCACATACACACTCACGCACACAAACACACTCACACGCACTCATGCACACTCACGCATACACACACTCACATGCACACTCACACAAACTCACATACACACTCACGCACACACGCATACACTCATGCACAATCACACACATACACATGCACACTCACACACACAAACTCACACATGCACACTCATGCACACTCACTCACACACACACAAACACTCATGCACAATCACACACACGCACGCATACACTCATGCACACTCGCACATGCACACTCACTCACGCACGCATACACTCATGCACACTCACACATGCACACTCACTCACACACACACAAACACTCATGCACAATCACACACATACACGCATACACTCATGCACAATCACACACACTCACGCATGCATACACATGCACACTCACGCACGCATACACTCATGCACACTCACACACGCACACTCACGCACGCATACACTTATGCACACTTACACATGCACACTCACTCACACACAAACACTCGTGCACAATCACACACACGCACGCATACACTCATGCACACTCACAAACACACACTCACTCACGCATACACTCATGCACGCATACACTCACACATGCACACTCACGCACGCATACACTGATTAAGAGCGATCTGTCGAATCACTCGCTCTATTAATGAATAACCAGATTTCAAAAGCTGCTTTTTCCTTGAGTTTCTGTCTTCAAGTACAAAAAGCTAAATATACAAGAAGAAAAGCAAAGAACACACACACAATTCATCTATAAATGAACAGGTGTGTGATTAAGAAATAGAAAGACAAAAAAAATCACTGGTTTTGTGAAACTGCTTAGAGATTTGTTGTCAGTCAGACCAGATGTGTAGTTTACATCACACTCACACACACACACACACACACACTCACTCACTCACACACTCACGCACTCACGCACGCACGCACACACACACTCATGCACACTCACACACTCACTCACACACTCACTCACTCACACATACACTCATACACTCATGCACACACTCACTCACGCACGCATACACATGCACAATCACACTCACGCACGCATACACTCATGCACACTCACACACTCACTCA